GGTTAGATAGGAAAATAATAGGAACACAACTATGAAAAGTATTTCCAAAGTGGTTTTCTAAACATATTTGCAATCAAAAGAAAATGATAATTTCCCTTACCTCTGAAATTAATGGATGATTTAATTGAAAGAGGCTTTTACTTAAAAATAGTGATAATAATAATATATTTAATGCGCGAAGAAGCATTTTCTATTCGTTTCAAATACGGGCCAAAAATTGAGTTATAATTTAAAAATATATACAATACTTTAATATACAATACTTTAATATACAATACTTTAATATACAATACTTTAATATACAGAATAATAGTTTAATAATTCAGATGCTCGGGCAAGTTGTTAGAGCGCCAAAGTAGCGCAGAAAAGTAGATTCTGAACTAGAATCGGAAAGTATGCATGGATGAGACTGCAAATATGTGTGTGTGTGTGGAGTGTAAATTTTTAAAACAGATTTATGGCTTGTGCATTGTCAGCGGACTTTCTGTCCATTTTGAGGGCGTGTCCGCTGTGTCTGTGTGTGTGTGTGTTGGCAAACTGACCGCGGCAGTGGCAGTGGCAGTGGCAATGAGGGGGCACGAAATGCCAGTTGAATTATAGACCATTTGAATGAAATTATTTTAATTGCGTAAATCACTTTGCGAGAAACCAAAATTCAACAATGCGGTGGTAACTCTGTGTGTGTGTGTGTGTGCGTCCACTTATTGGGCCAATCTCTTCCTTAATGTGTGCCACATTTGGGGTGCACTCATTCAAATACACACACACTCAGTCCCATTTTGGAGGCAAATGGAAAGCGTGGCACTCAAAACTTTACCAAATATTTCAGTTAGGCATATTTGCACAAAATATTCGGTAATTGTTTACCTCCGCCCGCTCCAAATAGTGTACGAGTGTGTGGGGGAGGGCGTGTTAAATAATTTGGGACGCTTCATTCAGGTCAACAATAGAAATAAATTCTTGCAACAATTGCCGTTAAATTGCCGCCAGCTGCCGATTGGCAAATAATAATTTTTGGCAGCCTCCCCCTCTGCCCCTCCAATCATTATTATTTGTTGAAATTATCGCCAACATTATAAATGCATTGCATTCTAGCCAGCATCGTAACAACAGCTGTAGACTTTTGGGCCCAGCAATAATGGACAGCCCTGCGATACTCGCCATTGATATCAATAATTAAAGTAATAACAATAATACCTCCCATATATACGAACAAACATTTTGCGTGCGGCACGATAATTAAAAAAGTGATAAATACAAATTTTGTGTAAATTACGAAACACACACACACACCCATCCACACATAAATATTGTCAGGCAGCGTAAATTATTTGCATCAATAAAACGTGCTCGGGATTACATCATGGCCGCAAAATTGGTTTATGAAAATGGGAATTGAGATAAGTACAACTAGTAGTGTCATATTTTGAATGAAATGCAATAACCAACAGCTTACCTTCAAATTGGAAATATACATACAAGTAAGTGCTAATCAATCTAACAGGTATTCTGAACAGTGGCTACGCATTTAAGCATTCAAAACAAAAGAGAATGTGTTCTTTTCGTTGTTATCAGAGGGAGCAGCCAATTCTTGAGAGTCACAAAAAGCTACAACAGCAAATAAAGAAAGCTAGAAATGGCTAAGCGTACTTCTAAAAGCACTTCCAATTTCGTCAGTTGTAGGTTTACAGTTTTTTCCGAAATAAAAAATAGCTAAATGCGCAACGCTCTCTCTTTCTAACCGCCTTTCAGGATTTTGATAGTTTTTTTTATTCATTTGTCTAGTTTGTCTACATTTTCAAAAATAGAAAGCATTTGAATATGGATTTAATAATGCACGATGCATTAAAATAACAAGTGATGTATATGAATAATAGAAAAATTTCCACAAATCCAACTTAGTTCCATTTTAATGTTTTTGGTCGAGTTCATATGGCGAAATTTTTTGTAGGGGTGTCAACACCCCCCTCCCCCACCTGCCCCACCCTACGCCATACATATCGGCTTGAACGCGAAATCGGTTTTTTTTTTATAAATATATAATACTGAAATACAAACAAGAATGTACACTAACAAAAACAAATTAGATTTGTAGAATATTTACTTATTTATGCTTTTAAAAATTAAATGAATTTTCCACACAGCCTCGTAAATTTATTCACAAAATACTTCACATTCAAAACACACATCCAGTAAGGAGAAAACAAAAAGCAACCAAAAAAATATGTATATTCAATTTATAAATACATATATCGCAAAATATACTTGGGCCACATTGCGGGCTAACTGAGTCATCTATGACACAATAGCCTTAATAGCATTATCGGCATATCGCACACATTAGAGACAAGTTAGGTAAAATTTAACTAAAATCACTTCGGCAGCGTAAAACTCGCGTGTTGTGTCGTTTTAACGGAAATTCGGCATTTAGATTGAAATGATATTACAATCATAAAATTACGTCGATTACTGCACAGCCTCGGGTATTTATTTAAGAACGAACGACAGTGCACGCCAAACCTTATTGCATTTATTAAACTTTTATTTACACAAAAAACGCTACAAAGATGTCAGGTATACAATTTATGAATAATCTATTCACATAGGGATTCAGTATTAGAAGGAAAGGAACCTTGGCATCACTGAAGTTCCATAATAAATGCGTTACTAAATTATTTTAAAATAATGTATATGTATGTATTGTTTTTGAAATTTGTGTATTATTTAATAAATTAATTACAGTTTTGGTTGTTTATTCAATTTATTAGAATAATAAATAAATAATAATACGTTTTTTGTTACATGTACAGTGTAGTGGTATGAGAGTTCTGGATGTCAGTTGCAGACTTACAGTTACTTATTTAATGACGATAACGATTCCTTCTCTTTTCTCACTTCACATTAAGAGAGAGCAGTTTACTAAGTAACTAAGTAACAATCTTCAGTTTAACTGCACGTGTTGAGCGCGTCGCTTCGCTTCTAATTGCGCGGAGTTATTGTAACTAATTGTTTATTGAAAGTTCCGCGCTTTCATTAAAAACGCCGATGGTTTCTGAAGTTGTGCATTCTCCAAATGGAAAAATGTTATACATATGTACATACATTTATAGCTCTAAACTATATAGCATATAGTAGCTAAAGGAAATATCAGCCGTAAAGTGTTGAACGTAATTGCTTTTGATGGCTTCCGACTCTAAAAAATTATAAATTCCACAAGTATTTTGTGGATTTTAGCGATTGTGCCAATGGTTTGTGGCTTTGGATATTAGAGTGTGGATTGTGTCCTGAATGCAATTTTAGACCTATTGCTTAAAGCAGTTATAAGTAACCAGCTCTAACCAAGTGAAGCAGAACATACAAAGCAGTATGCAACATTTTGTATGAACGTCAAAAAAAGTTGCATGTACAACTTGTTTGCTAACAGCATGAAATAACCCTGTTCCAACAAGCAGTGAAAAATTGTTCAAGTATGTTAAGCTGCACTGCATAAGCAGTGCATCAAAAGGTAAGTGTAAATTGTTGTAAAAAGCAGTATAAAATGTCCATGACTGCAACTGTTGGTACAAAAAGTGATTTTTTTTTTGTTGGTCCCCTACTGCCCTTTATTTCAAAATTGAACTGGTTTGACCATGTATATCTTATTTTATTTAATTTCACGAGTTTACGTTGTAAATAAATCAAATCAAATCAAATTAAATTTTTGCTGCATAAACATGTTTGTTATGTGTGGGTTTTAAAACAGTTAAGAAAAATTGAAACGAACATGTTAAGTTCAGAAACGCTAACCGTGTTAAGTTAACATGTTGGAACACACATTGCTGTTGTCGTAACATCTTAAGAAACACATTGCAAATAATTTCCTGCATCGTACACTGCTTGCCCGAAGAGTAAAGCAGTGGACAACTGGTTGTCCTAAGAAACAAGTAGTGGAGTTCTGGTTGTGAGACTGGCTATAACATGGCTCGAAAAGGTATTTGTCCCAATTAGACTGTTTTGGCAATGTTAGTAAATTATCTTTAAACGTATAGATTGCATTCTAATTGTTGATTTCTCTAAAATTGTAAAATACATATTTTCCATCGATATACATATTGTCATAAAGTAAATACTATTTAATAGCAACTGGCAAAATATGTTTACAGATATAAAACAAATATAAGCTAAGAAACCATAACAGTGTTAAGTTAACATGTTGAACGAAGCAGTATGAACACTGTTGATGCCGTTGAAATATGTTATGAAAACTATTGTAGAGCATCATGCACTGCATTTGACAAAAATGCAATCGCAGAGTCAAGCAGTGAACCAATGGTTGTGAGACTCGCTATTATATTGTTAGAAATGGTATTTGGCCCAATTTGTCTATTTCGCAATGTTATATAAATACCTTGAAACGTTTGTATAGATTGCATTCCAATTGTTGATTTCACTAAAATATGAAATCCATATTTTCATCAAAATGAATTTGGTTATAAATCATATTATTAACAACTGGCAAAAGTGCGTTGGGCTGTTCAAATATGTTAACAGATATAAAACGAGTATAGGGTGAGAAACGATAACAGAATTAAGTTAACATGTTATAGAAAATGTTGCGAAGCAAATGCTGCAACATACACTGCTTGCCGCAAAAATTCACATCAAAGAGTCAAGCAGAGGACCTAGTCAGTGGTTGCTGGCCTCGCTATAGCATTGCCAGAAATGGTGTTTGTCCCAATTAGACTATTTCGCAATGTTGCTAAATACCCTTCAAACGTATAGATTCCAATTCTTGAACTCACTGCAAATGTGAAATGAATATTTTGCCCCAAAATCAATTTTACGAAAAGCTACCAAATCATAAATGAAACGCACTCTTTTGTGTACATTTAAATATTGTATTTTATTGAGAAATAATTCTATATTAACGTATTACTATTGAATAATATCTTTTTAATGAGATTATTACTATCGTTTTTTTTTTGGATTTTATTGTTTTTTTTTGTTGTTTATTTTTAATATTTTTTTAAAATTAAATTGTTTTTATTTGTGAAATACTTGAATAAAAATAGGCGTAGCTTTAAAATAAAGTTTACTCACACAGAAAGCGTCAGCGGCATATTCAAAGGTAGGCTTCTTTTTCTAGCATGTGTGTGGGAGCGGGAGCGGGAACGGCCACGTGAGCGACCACGTGAGTGACCACGTGAGCGCCCGCGTGAGTGACCGCGTGAGTGGGAGCGATCCCTTCTTCTATCTGCACAGCCTCTGCCTCTACCTCTGTGCTTCGTCCGAACTCTGGGCTCCATTTGCACGCCAACTACCTCGCAATCGCTGTGGCTGCTGTTGCTGGAACTGGAACTCAAACTGCATCGATTGCTATTACCTGGGTGGACTCTGCTTTTGCGACTCCTTCCATGTGCCTGCTGGCGTGTCAGCTGCTTCATCACATCGGCCAGCATTTGCTGAGCTATGCTGGCCTTGCGGATCAGCTTCATCAGCTTCATCAGCTGCTGCTGCTGCTGCTGCTCCTGCTCTCCATTGGCGGGCACCGCCATATCCTCAATATCAACTGCAGCTGAGGAGGCAGCTGTGGGCTCCAGGCCGCTGCAGCCCTCGCATAACTGAGGCGCCGCACGCACCACTTTATCGGACTGCGACATTTTGGCACCGCTTTACAAATATTTACTAAAAAGAAGGTCACTTACTGCGGCAGAACTGCGACGAAACTGGAATTGTTGTTGTGGACTCACGCGGTCTGGTTGTCGACTGATGGCTCGACTGGGTCGGCGGCTGCTTTTATAGTCGACGCCAAACGTTTAGGCTGTGGCGGCAAACGTTTCGTTTGCTTTACGTGCGCGCCGCACGCTCGACAGCTTAAACGTTTATCAGTCGATGACGTCAGGCGCTATTTTTATACCCAGCGAGGGGTGTAGTATGACTTCTGATGTGAAGATGAAATCACAATTCAATATAGTCATGTCTGCTGTTCGGGTATTGCGTTAATATGTTCCTATTTCGCATACCTGTGGTATTTCAAACTGTCCTGACAATGCTCTAGCAATGAAAACATGAAAAACAAGGGGAACACCTATTTCTATTTCTCTACATAGTCCCCTCTTAGCTCGATATCGCTTCCCTCGAAATAGCATTCACCGCAGACTCCGGCCCTTCATAGTTAGTTAGTTCAACAATTTGGTCAAGCTTGGAAGAAATAAATAGCAACTTATATATTATTGTGACTGGGTATACATCGAAGTGTTTGCAATACGACGATCCTGAAATCAAGCGACGAAATGCCAAAGGGAATCGTCTGGTGAAGTCAAAAGTGTTGGGCATATTGATTTCTTTTTTTTTAAGATTCCAGGAGAATTATTTAAATGTCAACAAGTGTGACTGATTTTTTGACAACTATTCTATATTATATATATATATTTTTTTTCCTGATTTGCCTTCGTATTGCTCTTTGGAAAATTGCATTTGTCCATGAAAAAGAAAGCGCTAAAATAACGTCAAACCCATTCAAAAATTATGTCCTAAACATTCCTTTGAAATGCTTCTGGGTAGAGAAAAGGCGTTCTTTTGAATAAATAAATATAAATGTTTGTAAGTTCAAAAAAAGGTCTGCTCAGCTTCTTGATACTAGAATACTATAAAAATAAAAATAAAAAAAAACCATCCACCCATTGAGGAGAAAGAGGTTTCGATTGTTTTTGTATTTTGTTTATATTTCCCTTTTTTACATTATTAGTTTTATTTGTAGTTTTGTGCTAATTAATTGTTAAACATAAAAGTTTGTTGTTCTTCATTTTCTCATATTCATAATAATTCGTCAATTATTTGTTATTTGCGTTTTGATTGTATTTTACTTGCTTGTGTTTTTTGTTTTTTATTTTTCATTTGTTTCGTTTCGTTTGAGTTTTGATTTTGATTTTGCAACATTTGGTGTAATTGGTGCCTTGGCAACTCCTCTTGTTATATGTATACTCGTATTTAGTTTTGCTTTTGTGTTTTAATAAATTCGTAAAATTCGATGTTGAATTTAAAAACCGTTTCTCGTGTAAATAAATGCATACGTGTACTCGTATTTGTATAAAAAAGTGAGCTTCTGCAGCGTTCAAATGAAAGTTCGAAAGTGCTGCACAAATGTGTTTGTAAATGCTGGCAAAAATGAAAAACATTCTGAACTGTTTTTTTTTTTTTTTGCTAATATTATTATTTTGTGGAACTGGCGCTGCATTTGAAACGAAATTTGAAACGGCAGTCGCTCTCTCCAAATACGCATTATCTGTGGAGCCCCAACTGCCGTCCGACTAGACTGCCTTTTGATTCGTATTATCCGTTGTTTGTTTTTCTGCTTAAATGTATGCTCTTTGCCTATTTGTAGGTGTGTGTGTGTGTGTGTGTGTGTGTGTGTGTGTGTGTGTGTGTGTGTGTGTGTGTGTGTGTGTGTGTGTGTGTGTGTGTGTGTGTCTGAGTGTGTGTGTTCTGCGATCTCTCTTATTTATTGTATAATTTAATATGCAGTTTTTATTTTATCTAAAACAAATTTTGGCACATGGTTCCGAAACATTTTAAATCTTTTGTTATTCCTTTACTTTGCTTTTCTTCTCTTATCTTGTCTGTCTCTGCTGCTAATTTGCATATCGCTTTGTAGGCTAGTTAAAAATACAGCTAAGTTATATATATTTATTTATATATATATATATATATATATATATATATATATATATATATATATATATATATATATATATATATATATATATATATATACGTACTTGTACGTTTATGTATGTGAGTACCGACTAGGCGTAATTTTAATTTGTAGTTTGTTTTTGTTTGTCTTCTGCTGCCTTACTTGATTGGATTTTGGGTGTGTGTGTGTGTGTGTGTGTGTATGTGAGAGAGATTTGATTACGACTTTCTATTTGATTCGAATGGTTAAAACATTTATCTACAATTTGACGAACGACAGTTTATTGTAATGGAAACACTAATTGCTGCTGGTATCGTATATAGTAGAGGCTATATGGATTGAATACTCGTACTTCCGTCCTTCCTTCCCTCCTTCCTTCCTTGCTTTACTGGCATGTATTTGTATGGTTGTGTGTATGTTTATATGTATATATGTATATAAATCAGCTATATATCAATTACATTTAGTTAACATGTTCTTTAAATCGCCTCAGCTTTCTTGAATTTCTTTGTTCTTTATTATTTGTTCTTGTTGTTCAGTTTCAGTCAATTTGGTTTTATTCGCCCCTCGCTTATTTACAAAATACTTGTATACCTATATACGAGTACGTATGTATATATAAGTATGTATATGAGTGTATATATATAGTGGCACTAACAGCTAGAGGTCTAGGTATGTGTATGTCCGTATTTGTATATACATATGAGCACATAATCGCCCGTATATTATATATCGTTAGACATCATACTTGTATGTAAGTATATAGTATAAATTTGTACACAGCATATGTCTGAGTTTTTTTGGTTTTCTTCTTCAATTTTCAATTTTCAATTCTCGTTTTGTGGACTCGAAAAAGGATAAATAGTAGAGAGGAGGAGCTTTAACTTACAAAAATAAGTACTTAGCGTCGCAATACAAGTATAACTCAGTATTGCTCAGATTCCAAAAGTTCAGTACAAGTACAAATACATATTATCGAAAGGGCTATCAAAATGAAACGATTCGATCTGACTCGATCGATTCGACATTCTTCGTACCACTCACACACACACACACACACACATACTACTAGAAGTACAGTACAACCTCTCTACATACAAAAACAGTAAAATACGATGCGTTACAATATATTGAGTTTAGTATCGAGTAGTCAATCGTGTTAGTAGTTCGATTCATAGTTACGAGTTATACACACACTGTTAGTCATAAGTAGTACGAATATAGTACTCAATACTGTAAGTAGTATCTCTATGGTATCTATGTATGTATCTTTATTTATGTACAACGTTTGGAAGTTCGACAACAGACCTGGGATTCCTTTGGTGTTGTTGTTATTATTATTTTTATTATTAAACGTTACTTGGATGACATGCCTGGACATGCACGAATTGTCAATATTCATTCTGTTATATATAAGTACTATATACGAGTATGTATATGATGCATATATGGGAGAGATATTATGGGAGTGTGTGCGAGTGTTTGGATGGGTGCGCAAAATTTTGATATACTGATTGTCCGAAAGTTGTTGTTTATTGTTGTGTCCAAGTAGTTGTTTTTGTGGAGTGTGGGGGGAGGGGCTTGTGAGGCAATACAGGGTTTCTGTGGTTAGGTAACAAATGCATTACAAAAATGTACAAAACAGTTTGTTATTGTTTGTTGGGGTTAGACGATATTTGTATTAAAAACGACCCAACTATTGAGTGAGTTGATTTATTGCCTATACGGGTATATATCTTCAAAGAGTCAAGTGCTTCAAAATGTGAAATGAGCGCATTCATTACACTCAAGGGTGCATTCAGTATATTCATGAATGTGTGAAAACGAAAACATATATTCATAAAGGATTTGATAATATCCATTACATTTATATGTGCAATTCATTTCATTCATGATTGCATTTATCAACAAATCGGTATTCACAAGTCCATTCATAAGTACACGGATTACATTCAAGTGCGAATTGATAACAATATAAAAATCATTTTATACATTCATGAATGTTTTCAGTATATTCCTTCCTCATTGCATGTATTGCGCTAGACTCACACATTCATTCATAAGTGCTCATGAGCAAACTGATTAAATTCAGGAGTGCATTTAAGTAACTTATTTATAGATGCATTCTTTGCATTCAGGTTTTGCTTTCATTCATTTAAACTCATTCATTCATTCATGAGTCCATAACCGTATTACATTTGTGAGCGCATCTATTAACAATCTTGTGCATGTTTTCTGGATTGCACTTACTAATGTAATGAATGCACTCACATATAATATAAGTGCACTCGCGAATATGTATTTATCGAGGTATCTTAGGCTTTCATTAAATTCATGAATGTATTCGTGCGTGCATTCATGAGCACAGTCTCAAGTGCACTCAACTGAAACTCTTGAATACATTGCCAACTACCTCCATGAGTGCACTCATCCGCACAAGCACTTGACTCGCTGTCTCTCTAGCTAAGTAGTCCAAATTGTTTTTATAGGCCTGCCCTCATGCTGCCTCCTGATCTTGCGATCAGATCTTACCAATGTCTCACACTGATATCGAATAATCCGATTTCTCGCTTAGCAATTTTTGGCCTGGAGCGGGTGAATGTTGTTGCCGTTGCTGTTGTAGTTGTTGTTGTTGCGGCTGCGGTGATTTTGAATGCGCACGTTTGTTTAGTGGTTGCTGCTGCTGCTGCTGCTGTTGGCGTTGCTGTTGCTGCTGCTGATGATGTTGTTGGTGTTGCTGCTGCTGCTGCTGCTGCTGATGTTCCTGCTGCAGCTGCGATGTGGTCGAGGCCGGCCTGGACCAGAGAGAGGAGCGTGCGCCCAGCTTCAGCTTCTTTATGGTGTCCACATCGCACTCGACCTCCGCGAGCTCGATGCGCTCGCCCAGATCCGGCTCGTTGGAGAGCTGATGGTGGAAGGCACCAGCGGTGCCGGCGGCGGCTCCAGCCCCTGGCACTAAATTGCATTCGGCCTGCAGCTGCAGCGGATGCAGCGTTCGCAAAATGCCAGCCCTGCATGTGGAATATTATGGAATATGAGGGGGAGAAGAGTGTCCAGAGTTGGTTGATGGTTTGGTTTGGTTTGGTTTCGTTTTCGTTTTTATATTTAGTGTGGCTTGGCAGCAACCACGCCCGAACGTTCACTAAAGATTTAGTTGTTGTGTGGTGGTTGTTGTTGTTGTTGTTGTTCTTGTTTTGTTGTTGTTGGTGGTGGTGGTGGTGAGCTAATGTGGAGGTGTTGTTGTCGCTGCTAATGCGCTCCCTCGGGTCCACACACCTCACCATAGGCTAAATCTCATGTCTGATCTATGGGGTCCATGTAGGTGCAGGATATCTCGCCGCTGTCGTAGCCGAAGCTACTGCACCCCATCAAACTATTATCACCACATTCACTCCCCCCATTGGCCGTATCCTATTTGGGCAGCGTGGGCGCTGTAAAGAACTTGGACGACAGCAGGGCTGTCGAGGGATTCAAGAGAGTGCTCTGGCCGGCTGAGGCGGCCATTTCGGCGTGGGTCGGCATTATAGACTTATGGGGAATGGGTCGAAACTGTGAGGAGGGTGGCATGCAAGTGACGGGGACGACTGATGCTAGGGGGCTACTGCTACAGCTGCCATCGACCACACCGAGCAGCTCGTTGCCATTCGCATGCGGCTCGAGCGAGGAGCTCTTGCTGTTGTTGCCACCGCCGGTGGCGGACAGCTGGTGCGGATGGAGCTTTGGGGTTATCAATAGGGGTTGCTGTTGCTTCAAACTACTGTTATTACTGGCACTACACTGGGAGTTGCTATTCGACTGGTGTTGTTGCTGTTGTTGTAGTTGTTGTTTGTGATACTGTTTCTGTTGTTGTGTGGTTATCGATGGCGACTTGACCAATGTGGGTATATGACACTGTATGGAATCTTGTGATTTAAATGTACTCGATATGGATTTCAAATTTCCCGCTCCCGCTCCGGCTCCGGTGCCGGCTCCATTGCCATTCCCATTGCCATTGCGGGGTGATAGAATTTTGCCCGGATTGTTCGATGTTGTTGTGGCTGTGTTGTTGCCTGTATTTGATGTGCTGTTTTTGCTACTGTTGTGGTGGCGCGGTGTGGTATTGGTGGAAAACTGATATTGCTGATGATGATACCTGGAGCGACCGCGACGTGGCAATGATTTTTGTTCGGACATTGGTGACAGATCGGAGGATGTGCTTGATTGTGCTCCATGGTAGATGATACCTGCGGCAAAACGTAAACGAAATTTCAGAGAAGAAGAGGAATAGACAGACAGATAGATAGATAGATAGACAGACAGATAGATAGACAGAGAGCGAGAGAGGAAGATAGGGGAAGAGGTATACAGTTTTGGGCTAAACTAACTTTAAACTTATACTCTTGTGTGTGTTTACGAACTCATTCGTTTCGATTTATTGAAAACTATGTCGAAGTCTTTTGGGTTCTTTGTTTTTGGTCTTGCTCTAATTCTGTGGTCTATATACACGTACTTGTATATAGTCGTGTTTATTTTGTGGCTACTACAGATAAGTTATCGATATGTTGTGATTTGGAAATTGCTGTATAACTCTAGAGTCTGTAAAATAAAGTAACAACACAGGCATATCAGACAAAGTACTTGACTCTCTTAAGCCCCGTTCAGATTGGTGAGTGTTTTAACTGATATACAAAAAAAGTTCTAAAGCGATCGACTTCATAATGGGTTGCTACAAGTACGATGACAGCTAACTACAAAATATTCAAATTTTGAGTAAACATAAAGTATTCATATGCTATCAAAAACTGGTCCCTGTATCTTGACAATAAAAAAATGTTGCCGTATAAAAGCAGGTTTGGGGTGATGCATCTGATTAAAAAAATTATATAAAGGAAAAAGTTCTCCCATTCTTAAAACAGCTATATGATATAGTGAATAGATTCTGATGAGCATTTAAAACACAATAAGGAATAAAAAAGAAAGTTCAACCGATCGTTCGTCTGTAAAAATGTTGAGCTGCATTGAAAGTTATGATTCCTTAGATCTGGATGTTCATAGAGCGGATGAACAAACGAAGTAAATAACTTGTCAGCCTCCTACTCCTTTATATTTCAGTTTCCCTACAGCACATCATCGTCTGAACAGAGCTTAAAAGGCAACTAAAGTTCTTAAAGCGTGAAAATAGAGTGATTTACTTACTGTGCTTGATTTTTCCCTCGTGCTGATTGGAAGACTCTGTACGACTGGAAGTTAGTTGATCCTGATCCGACTCGGATTCCTCGCTTTCCGGCTCGGTCTTGCGTGAGTGGCGTCGCCGGTTCTTGGACTGTGTGTGTAGAAGAACGGAAAGTAAGTGAAGCTGCGCTGAAGAGGGGAGGGACTCAAGCGGGGTCTACTACAGCGCTTGGGGATGAAACGCCTTTAAATAACTCAAGGGCGGCAAAGGGAATGTTGAGAAACAAAAAATCATTTAAAAAGTGATGACACGTTGTGAACGCTTTATTTTTTAGGGCAGCGTTTCCTCGTTTCTAGGGCGTTGCACTCAAACGAACTGAAGAGGCGAGCAATTACAACAACAACAACATAAAAAGCACGTAGTGAGAACAGAAATCACTACTAGGACTAATCGTAATCGTAATCGTAATTGTAATTGTAATTGGCAGACAAACCCCCGTGGTTCGGGTGGGCATACAAGTATAGAGCTAAAATCAGAAGAAATGAATAAACAAACAAACGCACGATATTATGAAACGGTGAGGTCTGATAATAATTATGAATTGTCTTTTGTGGACGTTGGTTGTGGTTGTGGTGGTGGTGGTGATGGGTGGTTGGTTTTAGTACCGCAGCTGGTGGTGGCGACGAGCAGCCCTCGGCCAGGGCTCGCTCGTGGTACATAAACGAATGCAGCAACGTATTGGCCGGTCCCCCATGGTGTTGCTGCGACATGTTGCCCGCCTCCGACAATTGGAAGGTGGCATACGGCGATATATCCTCGGAGGTTTCTGCAAATTCAACATTGCAATACAACAATCAGCCCTCAATTCAATCAGCCATCTGATCAAGTGGCACGTCCAAACACTATTCAACTCCACATACCCGGTATTTTTTCATTGTTCTGCATGGCAACCTTGTGAATGGTGGCATAATAGCGTTCCCGCTGCGCCGCCTCGGAATTGGCGCGATTCTCAAGCGACTCCTTTTGTATGTGATTGCTTTGTTCTGCAGCAGAGAGGTGGACGGCTGAAGTAATTAAAGCAATATAGGCAGTTTACTTAAAACTCGGCTTCTACTCACTATATCTCCAGCACAGAATAACCAGCACAATGGTGCAGACCATGCCCGAGACCGCTGCTATGGTCGGTATCAGCAGATTGATGTTTCCATAGAACACACTTGGTCCCCTCTGGCCCCGTTGCACAATCTCTGGTGGTGGTGGATCCCCGTCTTTGGTCAGCGTCACAAACGTGAATTCCGCCTTCGAGACGCCTGCCACATTGTGGGCCTCCATTCGTAGCTGATAGAGCGTTGAGGGCTGTAGATTAGGGATAGTAACGCGACGTTGAGGCTTCAACGCATTCGAAACTGTAAAAAAAATGCACATTCACAAATTCCGTTCACGATATTTCTAATTAAAAATGTTCAATTTATTGGGGGGAAACAAAATCAATGATAGCAATTAAAGGTAATAAACAAATATCACGAATCAATAGTAATACCTTAAACAAGGCAGTGGCCAATAATTCAGTTTAAAGCAAATTTCCAATAAATTTGATAAAAATCGTAAAAAACGCAGAATAGGCAGCAACGTTCCAAATTCTTTTTAGGGAAGAATTGGGGTTGGCAATTTTGGAAGAGTTCTTAAAAGCTTAAGCGAATACCTCTATTAAACGATCCCGAGTAAAAATCAAAACAAGAGAGAACACCACAGTCGAGGAAGCCCTACAGTGAAATACCCTGTACCCAGGTAAACTACAGACACTGAGGTACAAGTATATGAGCAGAGGCAAAAGGAAGAAGAACAGCGACATTGCTGCTGAAGTTTGGTGGGGTTCTACTAGAGAGAATTTGTTTCGCTAATAATAATGGTTTTTCTTAACATTGACCGAATTGGATAAATTATTTTAAACAACTTTGGTTGTTCCAGCTTTTATAGTTTCTGAGATCCTTGCGTTCATCCAGACGGACGGACAGACGGACGGACGGACATGTCTAGATCGATTTCTCTCGTCATGCTGATTCAGAATATATATACTTTATGCGTTCGGTGATGCTTCCTTCTGCATGTTACATACTTTGCAAAAACCTAATATACCCTTTTTACCCTACAGCAGGTCTTTGTGCCAACACGGCCATTTATATTTTAGTAGAGTATAGTAAATTATTTTGACGAACAAATGTTTTGATATCCTCCGATTCGTGCTTTTGGAATACCATGCCATGTGATAAAGGAGGCATTCACCCTCTTTCTTGGGATATTGTTAATAATAATTACAATTATACGTGGAACACACGAAAGGCGTAACGTAGTTAGTCAGTCAGTAAGTCAGTCAGTCAGGAAAATCTGTTTTATATATACACGTACTATATACTTGTAGAGATGGAGCTCAGCCTTGTTCTTATTGTTTTTTTTTTTATTACTACTGCGATTCAGCTTACAAATTCAGTTTAAATTACAATAAAGACAATAAATCGTTGAACATAACAAATATTCTATAAACTAAAGCTATAATAAAGCTAAAGTCTTCTTGAAGAGCCTTTGTTACTCTTTAGACCTGTTCCTCAATTCTACTACCAATTGGTGGTATCGATAGCCTTGTTTTGAATAAGGAAGTCTTTGGTGTATTTTGCGACTATCAGTCTTTAGTCCTCAATTAGGTAAAGAGAAGAACCAACTAAAAACTTTAAATACAATTTGTTTTGGAAAAAATATTAGCAACGGTATACGCACCATTTTGAAATCTATATAGAAAACTTATTATGTACACACCGCATAACTTGAGGGGTTTTTTTTCCCATCAAAGAACTTAGATTTGATAATTGAAGTCGAGAAAATTGAACTCAATTTGGAAAATTGTATAAAAATGTATAAAAAATGTATCTTCTATAGCGAACACTATAAAACCCTATCTATATTATCGATGGTGTAAATTTGGAATAGGGACGCGAATCGCAATCGATCTTTCCGACTTTGAACTTGCATAGAAACATTCAACATTTGTCATCGACTCACCCAAAATCCACTCATGGTCGCCATCATCGGTTATAGCTCGATATTGCAGCACAAAGAACAGTAGCGCACAGCCATTGTCTGGCCAGGTGTGGAGTCGAATGAGGACCGAGGTCGAATTGGGAGCCAGTAGACTGGTCGTAGCTGGCATGCCTGGTGCCTGGCCCTGTGTGCGAACATGGAGAGTAGTACTGGGTGGCGAGGTTCCCACCTTATTGTGGGCAGTCAAATGGATTTGATAGGTGCTGCCGCAGACCAGACCCTTTAGCTCGTGACTGGAGGCGTGGCGTGAGAGTTGCATCTCGTCTGTGTTGCCAGTGGATCGCCGGTAGTAGAGGGTGTACCCGGTGATGGGTGCATTGCCGGTGAAGCCGCACTTCCAATGCATCAGTATGCTGCCCGACGTGGCGCTAGTCACATAGAGGACTGGGGCAGAGGGCGGTACCTGTACCAGCAGCATGTGCGTGAGCCGATCCGTGCCGATGCCATTGTCCACCTGGCAGCTATAGTTGCCGCTATCTGTCACTTGGAGACTGGAGATAATGAGATCGCCCGATTCGAGCAACTGGGTGTTGTGGACACCTCCCTGACGCAATATCATATCGGCCTTGTACCACTCGCGCTTTGGCTTGCCGACCGCGGTGCAGGGTAGGGTGACGGTGGACCGCCACGGACGCACCACTGGGCCACCAAAGGATATGATGCGTGCGGGCACACGATTAGTGGTGATTTGGGACACAACCCTAGAGCTCTTGCCCTCGCCCACTCGGGTTGAGGCTGTCACCCAGAACTGGTACTCCATATGGGGATGCAAGTTCTTGGCTTCGTAGTAGGCTTGCTGGGAGGGAAGGCTGCGCTTCTCATTATTCAGCTCCTCGCGTCCATTCACAACACGTGTGTAGAGACTGTATTTCGTTATCACCCCGTTAGGTTCCGTTGGTGCCAGCCACGAAATGTAGAGCGATTGTGGGGAACTAACCACGACTTTGATATCAGCAGGTGCTTCAGGCACATCCTCCTCGGTGTGGCAGAAGAGCGGATTGGAGAGCACGCCATCGCCCATGCGTGTGTGGGACAACACCTGAATGCTGTAGTTGGTGTATTTTCGAAGGCCGGTGAGTACAGTAGTCAGGGCAGTCGTTTTCCTCGACTCTACCTCGTCCTTGCTGAGGAGCAAATCGTCTATGATGGGTTCGAAGATGAGCTTATATCCTTGCAGCAGGCCATTGGTGTGATAAATGGGAGGTGGTTGCCAGGAAACTTGCAGGGACTGGGAGGTCAAGGCGGCACAACGAACATCTTCCGGTGGGCGACTGGGAACTGTAAAATATACAGAGATTAAACTAAGTGGAGCTCGAAAAAGATCTCAAGTCTATACAATTAGTAATGCACTTTCGATATTTTGCACATTCAAAAATTCCCCTCAAAGGGACTTAAGTTGGCAAAGAAATCAGATGTAACTTCTATAGAATCTACTTAAAAATATAAACTATATTTTAGGACTCATTCGAGTTGAATTCTGGAAAGGGACTTAAGTACAATCTCATTAGTGGCGAAATTTGAATTGAAAACACAACTCACCGTCCTCCATTGTCTGAGCAGATGTGGGTTCGGTAAGCGGTCCTGGTCCCACCTGATTGAAGGCCTGCACAACGACATTGTAGCGTGCGAATTTTTGCAGTCCACTCAGGAGCAGCTCCCCAGTGCCCCCCTCGCCATCACCAGCTACTGAGGTGAAGTTATAGGCAGTATTGCCGGCGCTAGCCAGCTTATAGCCCACATTATAGCCCTGAATGTCGCCGTGGCGGAGCTCGGGCAGCGGCGCTACCCAGCTAATGAGCAGCTCGGTGGAGCTCAAAGGACGGGCAGAGAGATTTAGAGGCGGACCAGCTGGGCGCTGGGGTTCGGTTCGAACTATAAGCTCCTGACTGGGAGCGCTACGTCCGGCAGTGCCTTCGGCTATGACACGAAAGGCGTAACGGGTAGCCGGTTTCAGGTTCTCGATGAGAGCGTTGTAGGTGGGCGGGTCCTTGATTTCCAAATGTTGCCACTGCTCGATGAAAAGGGCTGCTAGAGAAAGTGTAACATTAAGAAACTGTTTTCGGTTAAGTCTGAATGTGTAACTTACGATCCGCTTCACGATACTCCACAATATATTTGGAGACATCGCCTGTGTTAAGCGGTTTTGGCTGCCACTTGAGGTTGACCGAACGACTGGATATCATGGCTGCTTCGAGGACATTCGGCGGCTGTGGCGGCTCTTGGACTTGCAACTGCACCAACTGCTGATCGTTGCCATACAAGTTGCTGGCTCGACAAAAGTACGGCCCACTATCGCTGGCATCCACGGAACGGATTTGCAGCTCCGCCGAGACACCATCGGGCGTGGCCTCCTGCTTAACAGAGATTCTGGAGCAAATAGACGACAGCTCATTACATTAAAAGGCTCATGCTTGCGGGATTCCTGCTTGGCTTACTTGTAATTTGTGGAAGGATTCAATGTGTTCTTGCCTGAACGCATCCACACAATGTTAATCGGCTTGTCACCGCTGACGGCGCATTGCAGCAGAGCCGTGTCGCCCTTTTTAACCGTCACCGACCTCGATGTGGATGAAAAGTATGGCGAGGCTGTAAGTAGAGGGGATAGTGGTGGAAATTATTTGTGGCTGCTCATCTTCTTCTCCTTTTGTTATTATTATTATTGTTTAATTACGCTGCGCGCAAATTGGTTCCCGGGAGAGCTGAGAGCGCAATTAAACACATTTTTGAACAATTGGCGCATTTCGATGAGTGGAGAGCGGAAGTTGCTGGCAATTTCCCTGTCCAAATACTCACAATTAACTTTCAGCTGAATGACCTTTCCAATCCCAGTACCGATGCCATTGTTCGCCTGACACAAATAGAATCCCTCGCGATCCTCCTTTACGTGCTGCAGCAGTAGGGAGCCGTTGCCCAATAATTTCGTAAAGGGACGCTCACGCACTTCCTCGTACTCGCCAGATTTACTGCCTATAACACAATCAGAGATTAACAGTGTGGTATAAAGAAATGCAAGACTATCTCAGACTCTTAGTTCTACTTGTAGGTAGTTCGCAAGCTTTAAACTATTAAGATATTAATATACTAGACGTTTTCCATATAAGCCGAAAGTACAAGTATCCTAAAACTAATTATTTGTTGTTGGCCGTTTTGGGAAAATTAGTTAACATTATTTTTAATTTATTTCTGGAAATTCTGTATAAACATTGCTTTCAAAAAATTCCAAAATAATTCTGTCAAATCAGTAATTTACTTGAGAAATATTGGAAACTGTTTGTTGTTGGATTTGAAAGTAAAGTCCTCTAGAAATCAGATAAGTCGAATGCCATCAAGACCGGTTGACAAATATAATTGGTAGGAAAAATGTTAATGAAAATCATTAATATCATTCACTGCTAACTAAAAATGTGCGAAATAATATTCTATTTTTGTTTAACAGACAAAATGCTAGTTTATCTGATAAGAAACTTTATTCGTTTTCTTTTCCAAGTGTATTGACTTCCTCGTATACGTATGAGACTGTCACATAGCAGGCAGGATACTAGTTAAATAATAATTAAATGTCGTATACATATGTGAGCAAATATAGTTTAGTGAATGGTTTTAATTAGAAGCCGAAAAGGGTTTTTTTTTTGTCGTTATTAATACATGTAAGGGCGAATTCTAAGCTGAAGTGTTTCAGAAGCCTTTTCGTGAATTGTGACAATTTGATTGGCTTGTGTTTAAATAAATAAGCACATACCTGTCGCCTTCTTCCAGACAATACTGGGCGTGGGCACGCCCTGTGCCTGGCAATGCAGCATTATATGGCGATTACGTTCCACATTCGCATCGGCGGGCTCCACAATCCAACGCGGCGGCACTACGGGGCGTATGGGCAATATCGGAAATACATTACACATTACACACAGAATAAGCCAAGAGGAAACGGAAAAAACACCTTCGACATAAAACTAAAAACGCTAAGACATACAGTAAGAGTTTTTTCTTCGCATAGTCAGAGGAAAAGTGAAAAGTTGCGTACGTAAATTGATTGACCAAAGTATAAAATAACGACAAAATAATTTTTTGGTTTGGTTTCTAGCACAAATTGCTATTTTCTTAATTTTCTTTGGTATTTTATGGTAAGATGAGAGAGATATATATATAGAGAGAGAGAGAAAGAGAGAGTAAGGAGGCAGAGCAACTTTCAACTAATATACAATGTTATAATATTGGTATTAATTGGCTTTTGTTTGAACCGAAACATAAAAATTACTCACAAAAAAGATTTTATGCAACTTAGTCGAAAAGTGAAACGAAATAAGAATAATGGCAACGAAATTAAAACTTGTTTAAGCAACGTTGATGCTTTTATTTATGATTCGAACCTTTTGTTTTAATGGGAAAACACAAATTAATTCATGTTGTGGTGCAAGCGCCTGTTTGTTGCACAACAGTTGCAGATTCATTACATTTTGTTTTTGTTGTTGTTGGTAAATATAAATGCAAATGCGTATGTGTGTTTATGTTTGCGGCGCATAAATGAATTTGTAAAAAGGTAAATAAATAAAGGAAAGGAGTAACAAAGGAAAGGCATGCCAAAAGCGATTGCGCAAGCCAAATATTTGCAAGGAAATCAAATAATTTGCAACAAAAATAGAACGTTTTAATATATAAGTATATATATATGCATAATATGCTGGATATATAAATTAATGTGGACACGCACAATTTGCCGCAGCTAAGCCCAAAGGCTGGCCAAAATATATAAATCTCTCCATATACACATACATATATGTTTATAATGCCATTAATTAGTTTAAAAAATGCACAAAAGCGTGCGCACAGTCGGTTGAGCGCAAAATTGAATTTTAATAAATAATAAGGCCAATAAATTGGAATGCATTCTGTTTATTTGGGGCGTTGCATTTAATTGGCAGCCTTCTGGCTTTTCTGCAGCAATGCATTAAAAATGCTTACAAAATCAAATTAACAGCCTATGAGCACAACATTAATTAAAAAGCATTATGTGTCTGTGTGTGTATGTGTTTGTGTGTGTGTGCGTGTTGGGAAGCAGAAGGCACCTTAAAAAACATGTTGTTGCTGGTCTGGAAAAAAAAAACAAAAAAATCTTTGCACACAACAGCAGCCTGAGAAATTTATTGCATTTTAATTTTGGCATTAAATAAGTATTTAAAAAATTATAGCAAAATATAATCACAATAATAGGATCTGCTTAAGAACAGAGAATAGTTAGCAAGCAAATTATAAGTAAGGAAATAAAAAACTCTTAGGCTAGAGCTACGCGCATGCAGCCAAGCTATCGAAATGAAAAGAAATCATCAAATTTCTTTCTCAGTTTGAGCACAAAAACAAAACTGCTCCATGCAATAACTACACATGCCAAAATATGACAAAAATAATGCTAAACTGCCGGCCAATTTCGGCTGCCATAACATGCCAAGATCTAGGAATTATAATCGGAAATCATTCATCTACTTTAGCAAATACTGCGAAGCTTTAAGTTCATATATGTTTTTGATTTCAGTTGGTTTTGCTTATTCGTTTTTCATTTCCTTCTGCTTGTTGGTTGTTTATAGGTTTATATACAAAAATCGGTTATATATGCATTTGGCTGCACAAAAATCTGTTTAGTAGTGGCCTACAAAAATTTATACATAAAGCGTTAACAAAAGCAGGAAAAAGCCAAATCGAAGCATAAGCAGCGCGTGTTTATTTACGTCTTCTCTGGATTTATGGATTTCGGGATTTGTTGCTCTTTCTCTGTGCTCCTCGGATTCGTTCTTATTTGCATTTTTGTTATTATTATTTTTTGTTAATTAAGCACAGTACATTTAGATTTAGCACAGCCATTCATTTTGGGCAGCTGTTCTTGGAGCTTATCTTTTTTGTTTATTGTATTTTTTTCTTGCAAACAGCAGCCGTTGTGCGCTAAGTTTTGAAGCTGCAAGTCAAAAAATTGTAGCAAAATCAAAAGGGCAAAAAAAAAAAAACAGAGAGTATGTTATTTGTTATACGTAGCAGCAAAGCAAACAGAAAAAATTAAAAACATGAGTAAGCGAAAAAGCAAATTAATGTTGAGGCAGCTTATGTTTTTATTTTATATATGCACTTGTATATACACCGAAAATATAAATATAAGAAGCTGTGGGGGTAGGCCGCCACTAATGCGCTCTTCAAACTGAAGTCAGCCTTTTTGTGTGCTTATGAAGGCGTTGGTTGCCTCAACTCAATATTGCTGAGTTAGGATACTTTGGAGGTCGAGAAAAAGCAACGCATATTTATCGTATCCTTAACTTGTTACATTCAATACATTTATGAAAAAGGAGGGCCATTTATTTCGTATTAATATTTTAAAAAAAAATAATGAAACACTTGTGCATTTATCTTAAATTTTGACGCAGTTAAAATTTTACGGTTCAGTACTTAATATTTTTATATTTAAGCTTTTTATTTTAAAAATTGTTACAGCATATTTGTTTCAGCTTGTCCGTCTTTATTAGGACAAGAGTGTCTGATTTCTTAAATGGAAATTTTGTACTCTTCACTGGGATTTTCCGTCAACACCATCAGTTCGAATTAATTTGATGTTTGGTTTAAATTAATATTTAATTTGGAAATTCTACACAATAGCACACAAAAGGAGTTTCTGAAAAGCGCATTTAAGCTATGGCCAAGCCATAGTTACTCCTTAAGTGATATCTCGATGTAAGAAGCATTTGAATAAAATGATGTTGGCAACTTAAAAACAGTAATTTAATAATATTTAGTCAGTTATACTTAGTTGCTGGTTTATGAATACGAAGCGCATAAAAAGCAGTGCAGTTTAAAAGGTTACCTGGTGAGAACTGTTGTCAAAAAAAACCCACAGCGTGCCAAAGCGACTTAAGGGTATTAGTATAGGGGTACATTTTGTTCATAAGCTCGTCGGGGGTTAAGTTTAAGCAGGGCAGTTTGTTTAGTATTTTTAAAAGCATATTCAACGTTCTTTTTCTTGTTCGAATATTTATTATTATATTGATATATTTTTAAAGAGTATATTCATGTAGGAGAGTCAAAAATTCAAAGCGCCATTTGCTGAGCAAGAGATAGTAGAGAGAGAGAGAGAGTTAGGCAACGTTGAGTTACAGCTGAGCTTGCAGGACACAAGCAACAAAAATAGTTTATGTTCTTTTGAGAATGAATACAACATTTGGTAAAAAACAACAACAAGAAATAAAACATTAAAACTAAATATCAGTAAGAAGCTGTAATTTGATATTTGATTTTGGGCAGCAAGAAAGCAAAAAAGTTGAGGGGCAGTTTTAAAACGCAGTGAAACTTCAATAGAATTTATTATGAGTGTAAGTGTGACATAAGCCTGGATATATAATTATGGGTGTGTGTGTGTGAGTGTGTATGTGTATGCGTGTGATTAGTTGACTTGTCCCCAATTCAGGCATTGCAACCTATTACGCTACCTTTGACCTGCAACAGGGCGGTATATTTGATCTCGGCTGCCGGATTCTTTGCCACACACGTGTACTCGCCCGAATGCGTGGCCAAAAGCGAGGGTATGCTCAGTAGAGAGCTATACTGATCTAGCATGGTGATATTGGCGCCCAGGAGCTCTGGCAGCGGCTCACCATCCTTAAGCCAGATCAGCTTGAGGGGCGCATCGCCGCGTGACACGCCACAGACAGTGCGTGTGCGCATGCCCTCGGCGAGGCCGTCTTGAAAGGCAAACGGCTCTATGATCGGCGGCACTGTAATTGAAAGAGTATACAAAATGGTTAAGAACTGCACAATATACACAGGTTGATCCCGACAGTTGGGAGTCCCACGCTGATTCTTTGTTGTTCTTTGTTGTTGTAGCTGCTGTTTGCTGTTTGAACTATTATTATTGTCAATGGGTTTGTAATATCTAAACCTTCGCAGTTTTGTTAAATATCGAAAAATAAATGAAAATTGTTTGATATGGGAAAAACACTACTTGAATTTTGTTTTTCTTTTTGGTCTTTTTACAAACATTCCAAAAGATTTGAACAAGTTCGGAAGTAAAGTGATATTATAGTAGTAGTAGTAGTAGTAGTAGTAGTAGTAGTAGTAGTAGTGGAAATAACTAAATTCCGTTTTCAGTAACATAATCATATATTAGTAGTTTTGTACAGAGTATTCAATACGTAATAATAGATGGTTGAATATATACAGAGAACGAGCATTATGGACAAAACAAACACGCGCCACAACCAGCGCACTAACTGTGCCGCATTTGTGCTTGTGTTTCTTTTTGTGTACTTGCTGTTTACATTGAAGTGCATGACAAAAACAAAATACTACTTCAACTAAACATTCGAGAGAACCGCCTTCATTTCTTTACCATTGACCAGCAGTGCTTGCGAGTTCTCCACCTCGGCCGCCGAATTGCGCACCACACACGAATAATTGCCCGTATGATCACTCCCCAGATTCTCAATGACCAGTATGCTATTGTATTGGTCCACCTGTTTCACGGACATATGCTGTGTGGCGTCAATCGGCCGATTATCCTTGCGCCAGTTGATCGTGAGCGGCAAGTCGCCCTTCACCACGGAACAGGTCAACGAGGCCCGATCGCCCATGTTCAGTTGCAAGATGGATGTTTGGAAGGGACTAAGCTTCGGTGGCACTGCAAGTTTTTGTTGGGCGTTGTTGGTTAAAAAGCGAAAAATAATAACAGCAATACAAAAGCGTAGCAAAGAAGACGCAGCAATAGACGCAGCTAGGGACTAAATAAAAATACGAAAAGAGTAGCATACTTATGTGCGCCGCTTAAGTGTGACGCCGAATTGGAAGTGGTTGCGGTAACAAATTAGAAGGGAATGTGATGCTGTTACTCCTTAGTACAGTAAGCGCCCATACATCACTGTTGAAATCGAAATTTGTATACACGTTTCAGAATACATTGTTGGAGGTTGACAATCAAAGAGTAAAAAAAAATATTTAGAAGTTTATGAAGATCGAATTGAATAATATTATACAAAATGCTTCAAGTAATCTCAGCTCCCACTATACTGATTCTAAGCCCCAACTTTGAGCGATTTTATATCCTAAACTATATTTCTATATTTATAATTTTGTAATTTATTAAAGAACACAAATTTATACAAATAAATAGTTCAATTGTGTTTCCCATATTTTCTAAACTTGTCCTCAAATTTGTAAAGCATATTCATTGTGTAATTTTTCTCGGCTTTAAATTGGTTAATATATATAAAAAAAAAAACAAGACCTATACGAATTCAGTAATGACAAACAACAGTCCAAGCATTTACTATATACGAGTATACTTTTATTTCGGAGAAGCACATATTCTTCTTTTGGTTTATTTTCAAATCCTTTTCCCTCTCCCGGGGATTAAAAAATGCGTCTCATTAATACGAACATGAAGTTACAAACTTCTAAGTCATAAAACGTTGATTAAGTGCCAACGAAGAGCATCATTCGCATCATAAAAAATTAAAAACGAAAATTAATTTCAGCTTTAGAAGGCGTGACATAACAATGCAATAAAATCTTCAATTCAGACGGATACTGTAAGCGAAAAAAGGCTGTTCAAAAAAGGTTAATGCTGAAAAATTATTATGAAAATTTAATCAGTGCCTCGCGCTTCATTAAGACTGTTTTGCATCGGGGACCGGAATTCATTAACTCTAATGCTGTGTGGGCGCAAAATCGAGTGCGAAAAAACAAAACCAAAATTGAGAGCGAAGGGTTTTTTTAGAACTTGTCAGTTTGCTGCGCCTTCCCCGCTTTTTTTTTTGTACTTGTTGTGTAATTTAAAAACTTTTAAGCTTAGATTATTGCGCATATTTAATTACACAGCACCAAACAACAAAATGAGAAGGCAAACAAAAACAAAAAACGCAAAATCACAGCAAAATAAAAATGTAAAAATTTTAAACACTCTTGGGTGCGGCTCTGACAGCCGAAACTACTTAGTTTGCTGTTAATAATTAAATTGCAATTTTCACTTCGTTCAGCATGTCGCGCTTGTTGTTGTCGCTCTCGTTAGCATTAACTTTGCTGTTGCTGTTGCTATTGCTGTGGTAGTTGTTGTTGGTGTTGTTGTTGGGACGCGCTGTCAAGCCGCCACGTCCAACTTGTTTAATTTGCACATTTTTGCGTTGAAATCTGTAAGAAGAGACAACCGGCAGCCCCCTGTCAAGCCCCTACCATACTAACCTATGACCGTAACCTCTCCACTCCGTCTCGCACTGTGACCCTGTTTGTTGCGGGCCCAGCATGTATATACGCCCGAATCCGTGTGCTTCTGTACCGGACTAATGGTCAGCGATCCGTCCGGTTGTACTCGCTGCCGTATATCATCCGGCAGTTCCCGCCCGCCCCGCTCCCAGTGTATCTCCTCGATGGGGTAGCCAGCAACGGGACATTTCAGATTTAGCGTCTCGCCGGACACAGCGGTCACCTTTGGTATGAGCCGTATATAGGGTAGACCTGCAAGGGAATGAATAAAATGTGCATGAGATAGAGGGAGGACGAGCTGATATGGGTGCTTAACAGATTTGCGCCGTGTGCGCCCTTCTCCCCGCTGCTTTTGCTTTTGCTGTTGTTTTCTGTTTCTGTTTTTTAATAATGCAGCTGGCGAATTACGTAGATCTATATATAAATATATATACTCGTACATATACATATTTATGTATGTATGTACGTATAAACAAACGCGAAAAGGCAGCAAACAAAACAGCCTGGCAAGCAGGAAGCAGCGCTCACAATGTAATATGCATATCCTGCAGCAAAACAAACTCTTCTGCCTTTCCGCTGCACAGTGGTGCTAAACTCAAATCTACCTCAACAATATGCAACTATTGTACGCGATAATTTCTAATATCGTGAGGATATTGAAGGGTTTTTCAAGTAAGTTTCCTTTATTCAGAGCATTATGCCATTATAATTCCTAATCAATTCTATTAAGCAAAATGTAAACTTTTGATTGCTGCAGTTCTACTTGTAATGTGTCTTTCAAATCGAAAAACCCTATTAATCTAACTCTTTGCAAGATGAAGTCTATTTCTTCCGATTCAGATAAATATTAATATAAATAATTACACATCTTACTATAATCTAAATGAAGTTCTAAAATGTTTACAGCGTATCTTTAGTTGAAAAATTGATATCTTTATATTGCCCAGGCTTACGAATTCTTTTTGTGTTACTGTTCTTAATTTTAGTAAGAAATCTGCCAAAACGACTCAAGAACATTAAAGTAAAACAAATGTTATGTTAAAGGGAAATTTCTCAATTTCGTAAATGTTTATAGACATTGAAAAACAGTTTATAAAGAAGGGCTGATCGCCTTCAACAACCGCTTCAAAATGAGTTTCTATCATCATCATTTTGTTTTCATTTTTGTGCCACCTAATATTGATTTCCGCCACTGTGCCTTTGCCCTGAGTTCGGGAATCTGCCAGACTGCAAAACACTTTTGGGTGCCGTGCCGTGCAAAATGCAGGAAGGAAGCAATGCAGCAAATGCCGGCGCGCGACGTTGGCGCGTGTTTGTTGAGATTGCTATAGTTGTTGATGTTGTTGTTGTTGTTCTGGTTATTGTTGTTGTTGCTGCTGCTGCTCTCGTGGCTTGGTTTCTGTAGAATATGCATAATTTTGAGTGCGCCGGCACATGTCACAGCCACAGAGGAGCTGCTGAGACAACACTCTCACATCCTTTCAGCCATTTTGTACAATGTATGTGAGCCGCAGACTCCAGTCTTTTGCGAGATTTTTGTAATCACCGCCATTACCATGCGCGTAATCAACGCACGTGGGTTGAAAGCCTAAAGAGGTGCCAGCGATTTCGCCACACTTCTTCCCTTCCCTTCCCTTCTCTTCCCTTCCCTTTTTTCTGCTTAAACTGCAAGTTTTCTTTACCACTAAACTGCATGGCATCTACCTCCATTTAGCAAACATGGCGCAATTTGTTGGTGTGCATTCATTTGTGTTTGTAAGCACGTGTATGTGTGTGCCTGGCAACGCCATTTTGTTTGCTTAGCGACACAAAAATATTTGATTTCTTGACAACCAAAAATGGCGAAAACAAACAAAAAAATTTGAGGACCAAGAAAACAAAAAAGGAAAGAACTTGCAAAAACACTGCAGATATGTTGGAAAAAAGTTCGTTGGGCATGCAACAAAAATGCAGAAAAGGCACAAGGAAAAAGTGGATAGAAATTCTTGATTGTGAAAGTAGAAGCCTCTATACCCTTTTTATGGTGGCCGACAGGTGTCCTATTTCTATTTTCCTATTCTTTTTTAGATTTTTCTGTTCAGCTCATTATTTATAATTTTTTTAAGAATAAGAAATTTAACTAAAACGAGAACCTTTGAAACATAGTTGAAGTTATTTTACAGAAAATTAAATAAATTTGTTAAATTTATTAAGGTTTTCCTGTTAACATTTTCTGCTTAGTAAAAGACAAAACTTGCGGGTTCAATCAAAAACAAATCTAAGGAATATTTTCTATATTTATTACTACCTACTGTAACAGTATTCAGCAATATAAATGTTGTACGTCTCAATAAATAAATAAAATATAAAATGTATTAATTGTTCACCCAATTATGTGACTAACAATTAAATCACAAAGTAGCTATTCACCAAAGAAGCTCCAAAAAATTCCATACAAACAATATTTAGAAGTGGTTGCCAAGTTAAGATAGAAACGCGTTTATTAGCTTAGTATTGAGAACCAACAACTAAATAAAATTATTAACAAATAAAAAGTGTACAATAATCAAAATTTTAAAACAAATAACAATTTGTTTTGTCGGTACTATCGTGCACATGCCTTCTGTTTTTTGTGAACTGATTTTGATTTGTTTGTAAATACTGATACTTATACATATGTTCTTGACATTCTTCGGTTTCATATTGCTCTTCTAGTTTTGCTAATATTTTTCTTCCTGATTCATTTGGATAGAATAGAAAATGAGCTAAAAGAAATATGACTTTTTCTGCATATATTGGTAGATCTTTTACCAATTTATAAACAGTTTTTCCATACGCTCGACATTTGCTACCAAAACTGTTTTTGCGAAAACTCTTTAATTCAGCTCCTTAACAACGCTTTTTTGTCCACTCATTATGCATTCCACAAGATGTGTTTTTTTTTTTTTTCACTAAAAACAATATAACGACTAAAGTAGCTCAAAGGCGTTGCAAAGCTCATAACAGACAGATTTGCAAGGGCATTGAGAGGCACAAAACAACAACAACATGTATGCCATTGAACAGACAGAGGCAGAAAATGTGTTGTAAAACAAAATCGAGCAAAAGTAGGCAACAGCAGCTGCAGCTGTACCCAAAAAAAAGGAAAAACGAAAACTCGTGAAACCAGCAAAACATTTAAGTGCTTGTAAGTGTGTGTTTGTGTGTGTGTTTGTGTATGTGTGTGTGTGTTTGTGTATGTGTGTGTGTTTGTAAAGTAGCTGCACATGTGCACAAATATTCGTGTTAGTTTTGCGTTTGTGTGTCTGTATGCCATACCATAAATATTCAAGCGGGCCTCGTGTTGAACTCTTCCAGCACGGTTCTCGGCTATGCAGGCGTACTCGCCACCATCCTCGACCATGACATGGCTGATGTTAACATGACTAATTACATCGCCATGCACCGTGATATATTGTCCGATCATAAATCTGTAAAAAAAGAGAAACACAGAAAAAGAAAGCGAGATGAAAACGTGCACTCAAATGCATTAATATAAAACGCATTTTGTGCCGTGCGGCATATACTTAGTGTGCAAACTAACGAGGCGAACATTTTAATTGTTCTGCGTTCTGCCATTTGAATTGCAAGCTTGAACTTTTGCCATGACTTGGGTGCGCATTAATGATCTGACACACACACACCCATAACGCACATATAAGTCGACTATGATATATGGATATTCATACATCGTCGACTGTCTCAATAGGTGCGAGATATTTCTAGAATACCTTTGGAACTACTCGACCAACACTGAAGAGACTATTTTAAAAATATATATATTATTTGCTTAGAACGTAATTTTTTGTAGAAATAACTTTTTTTATGACTCAATTAATATTTTAAAAGTAGAACTCTCAAACAATGTTAATGCTTTTAGTTCAATCTGTTTATTCGAGATATAACTTCGCCTTTTATATAAAATTGTATATCAAATATCAGAAAACTTTAAAGCATGAAGCCATAAAACTAATAAAAATGCTGTCGTGTGGAAATTGTGAAAAAGGTTTATATAGTACTTTAATGGATGATCCAGGTCACATTTACATGAAACAGAGCAATAAGTCCAATATATGCAGTCCTTAATCATAAACACATTAACACAAAATTAAAAGTGAGCTTAAATACTAGGCTCAACTAGCGGATAAAAAGTAGATTAAGTATAAATTTTGATGGACAATACAATATAATTCTTAAGGCAATCAATCATTCTTTACTTCAAAAATAGTTGCATTCATATCAGAGGAAGGTTCTACAAATTGCATTACAAGCTGCTTAACCTATTCGGCTGCGTGGCAGTGTACACATAAAGATATAAATGTTTGTTTGTATGTGTGCTCTCACACATTGCATTTAGGCACATTTCATATGCAGCTGACCCAAATAACGAAAGCCTGACAAATCTTTATACCGCTACATCAGCAACAGCTCAGCGTCAGCAGCTTTGCAAAAATTCTCGTTTTTTAGGCTTCATTTGTTGTTTGACACAACACGGCGTATACGTGCTGCAAGCTTCGTGCATTATTTAGTTTGAAATGAAGGTTGTCAGAGGTTGTCAGTGTGTATATATAGTATAGTTTATACATATAAGTAGTATGTGTATATGAGTGGAGAAATGTTAAGCATGGTTTCAATGTCATTTGAAGATAGTTGAAGAGGCTGGTTGGTTGAAGGCAAGCACATGCCACGCCCCTATATGGCTTAATTACACTGAAACTGACTTCTGTGCACATAAATAAAGCAGCAGTCGAGCTCCCAAGCTCCCAAGCTTCAACGCCTCCATGCCCCATGGGCCCACAGATTACAGCAACAACAGGACACACACACACACACACACACATCGCATTACACCACACCACACAACTTTGGCTGCGGCTTAATGCGCACATAAAATGCCACGTTACGCCGCAACCAAACGAAGTCCTTACGTATATCTGCGTGTGTGTGTGTGTGTGTACATATGTGTGTGCAAATAATGAAAAAAGGATTTTATGAGTGCTCAAGCTGGCATTAAGTTTGCTGTCTGTCAGTGTCTCTCTCACTCTATCCACATCTCTCTCCCTCCCACATAATCTTCCTTAGATTCTCTCTTGCTCTATTGCCTGCGGTTGCTATTATTTTGCTACGTCTTATTGGCATAGACATTAATTACAGCAAACATTGTTATGTATACGCCATGTGGTACAAAGACAAACACACACACACACACAAACACACACATACACACATGCGGCTTTTGTGTGAGCTTAATTGTAACAATTTGCTGCTTCTGCCGTCTCCCTTCTTATTATTATTGTTGTTGTTGTTGTTGTTGTTGTTGTCTTTACTGATATATTTGCCATATGCACAATTATATAACTACAGAAGTAAAGCGCTGCCTCATTAGTTTATACGTAAAGGGTGCTTGTTGACGAGCTTTGCAACTTTTAATTAAATGGCAACACATCAAAACCTCACTAGGAGTCCATTGAATTGACTTCATTGAGGATAAGTTGTGGTAAGCATTTAAAGAATTCGTTTTGTATTAATTGACAATATTACCCTAAGTTAAAAATGCTAGAGCGATTGGGCTTAATTTGAAGCCATTTTGTCTTAATTATCGCACATGAATCTAGTTTTTCTAATGAAAAAGAAAATATATTTGAAAATAATACAAACATAAACAGAAATAATGTAAGCATCATTGTAAATTTAAAAAAAGCTCAGATCCCCTGCTCTGGCGGACCAATCTCACGGTTATTATATATTTGAAAATGTAATTAAATTTAAAATTTTTCGGCCCCTTTTTGCACAACGTCCTATTCCAACAAACATACCTACACACACATACATACATGCACATAACTCAATACAATATATAGCTCCTGATAGTATAAAATAAAGCTTTAAGCAGCATCTGACAATACATATCAGTTAATCAGTATTTATTTAACACATAGCATCAATTATAAATTAATCAATAATTGAATAAACATTGTCGAAAGAGAGAGTAATTTATTTGGTCATTCGTATATTTATTCGTTCATTTCTTATCTCATTCAATAATTTATTTCCTATCTAAGGCACTAATCAGTATGTCAGCTATGTCATTTATTTGATTTTTTACCTCGTTAATTTATTTTTCAGCTCCGCCAATTATTTAATAGATGACTTATTAATAAATAATCATTTATAAATAGAGTGTACCACTATGGGTTCGTCTATTTATTCATAGTCATTAATTCATTCTTTTACACAGTAATTTATTCTGACTCTAACATTCTCAAATGCCCCCTTCAATCATTACAAATAAATTATTGAATAGAGTGCATCGTATCTGGAAAATCAGGGCTTGAAGCAACTGCTTATCCAAAATCATTTTTGAATTTAATTGGACTGCCAGGCATGCCACCAATCCTATTGATATTTAAAGCCACTGTGCCAGTTACTTGTATAATGTTGCCAAATCTTAAATCTAATCTAATCTTATCCGTAATATTATAGAACTAGCTATATAATTATAAACATTTGAATTTTCTTGGCTCCATAGCTTAAAAGCCATAAAAGGCTGTTGAAATGGGAATTCTATATAGTAGATATGAACACCCTATATGCGGGGAAGACCTTGTCATATGGTGGAAACTACACACAACACACAATTTTCAGTGGACGCTGGACAAACTAAAAGCCAAAGTAATTACAATTTTAATTAACATTTTTGCGGGCTCAAGCATTTTACAAAACTCACGGGCATAAGTAAGTGCAAGCAAGCCAGTTGTTCAAATTGCGCTGATTTCCCCAGAAAGTGGCCGAATCAACTTTTGGGCCAAGATGACGTCGACGTCGACGACGCCGAGTTTCGGGCACTTCAGGGAAACACGCAAGGCGGGGCAAAACAACTGTACTATGCAGTTAAATGAAAATGAAACTGGCAGGGAAGACAACAACAATACAACTGCAGTGGCAACACTTGCATTTGCAACAAAAATATAAAAGGGACAGACTGCAACAAAGCTGCACACACACCCTCAAAATTGTTGCTGCTGTGGCGGACGCTTAAGCGGCTCGGTGAAACTTTTGAATCTGCCGGCAGAGCTGCAGCTCGAGCTCGAGCGTGTGGGTGTGGGTGTGGTTGAGCGAGTGCACGGGGGCTTAAGGGGGTTAACGCTCACACACGCTGGCATAAAACGCTTTTCTGCAACAATACAAACCTAATAGTTTGCGCGGCTTTTGTGTGCTGTTTTATCCGATTGTTGTGCGCCCTTGCTGAGAATCTCTGGCTCTTTTTTATAGCTTCGAATGTGTGTGTTTGGGTAATTTTGTCTAAAGTGAACAACTTAAAACGACTGCAAAAGTTTGCTGCAAACTTACCAAATTATGAATTTCAATTTGTGTGAATTGAGTTTACGCTGCGCAAATGTAAGTAAGTACTAGCACACTTTTAAACAATGGGAATAAATGTAGCATTAACAAAGAAACTTGTTGAAGGGACTTGCAATTGACTTGCAGTTGACAAAAATATTCTAAAGACGTAATAAGTTAATCGGAATATACGTTTAGATACAAAAAATATTAATAAATATGTTTGATTTTTTGATTACGTGGAACAGATGGTATTTAATATTTCTGGTGCTGTTCCAATAGCTTTTACTTTAGTAGTAAATTAAGTATTTAACTGGACATGAAGTTCAATTCTTATCATCTATTTACGTCAACATTTTTAATTTCACAAAACTCTCTTAATTTTGTTTTAGGCACTTAAGCAGTAAGCCTTTAACGTAAAGTGTTAAAAATTTGTAAAGAATTTAAGATTAATTTCATGCAACGACTATGAAGAATCAGATTTGTAAGCAGACCCTTCTAAAACATACGTACAAGTATATGGGTTTTTGTGAAATGAACTAAATTTGAGTATTCCATATTCCATAGTTCCAATACATGTTGGAAGAAGTTTTTTGTATGTTTGAATGTCATTTTAATTGAAATACATTTATGAATTAGGTCAGATTAATCAATTATTTGAGTCATACCTTAAATTCATTTTATTCGTATTGCCTAGTATATGGAATTGGAAATTGAAATCAAACCTAAATTCCTTGTAAAAATACATATAATAGTGATATTCCTCATTAGAGACAGTCCAAATAGCGATTTTCATCGATTCATCATGTTCAATAATTTTCCCATAAAAACTACAGCTCTAGTGTTTTAATAAAAAATATGACTCTTAAACAGACAGAAGTGAAAAAAGCACAAATGCTTGGAAGGAATAAAGAAATAATTTCTGCCAGAGTAGACATGTTTTGCTTTACTTTTAGTAAATTAAATTAAATTAATTACATTTCTAGTAGGTAGAGACGAAAGTTAGTTGCCCTGAAAAGCTTAATTATAATGCTGATGACAATGTGATTCATTATGGTAAGTTATAAGGTTATATCTTAGAGTTTATTGA